AGAGAGAGAGAGAGAGAGAGAGAGAGAGAGAGAGAGACAGTCGACGAAGAGTATCCGGCGAAAATAAAAGCCGCGACGCGCTGTGGTGTCGTTATAAAATTACGAGCTCCATGAAAAACAGAAACGCCGACCAGTGGTATCGGGAATGCCACGCGTCGCGCCATTGCGTCGCGTTTCACGGGCGCAAGGTACACACCAGAGTACACACCAGGTATACACAGAGCGGGTTTAAAAAAATGGTGAGGTCCGGTCGCGCGCGCGGCGATGGCAAGTCCGCAGAGCGCGAGAATCATCGGATTTTTGAAAGATCGATCGACGGTGAGGGGAGGGGGAAGGGGTGCGGGGGCAGAGGGATAGAGACGTAATTTTTCAGAATTTTCAGCGGGCGCGCGCGCGGGAGAATCCGGCGCGACGCGAATCGCGATCCGCTTTCCTCGGCCTGACTTACGACCCTAACGCTCCCGCTTCATCCCTACGAAACACGGACGCGTCTGATAAATAGCCGACTGCTTTACGAAGCTTCCGCCTTCTCCCCCCCCCCTCCCCCGGAATCCCCATCATGATCCCACGCCACCACCACCGTGTTGTTTTATGTTGGTCCAGCCCGGTTAGATGTTTAACGCTGCAAAGCAGAACGTGTTGAAAATCACGTATTAACGCGGATTCGCGCAATTTTTTCAAATCGATGGTCCTTTCTTCGCGCTGTTTGAATAACTCCGCAGTCTAAGACTGCAAACCACCCTCGACCAAGGTAAAAATGCCAATGCCAGGACACGTGAATTATGTGGATATCGTGAATATTCCTATTATTTTGGACTTTGAATATGAACATTTCAACGTTAAATCCGTATACATATGTTCTGTTGAAAATTTCAATATTCGTACTTAAGATGTTGAAAACGATAAGAATGTCAAGAATCTGTGTGTGAGAGAAAGAAAATTTAAGAAATAAAAAAAATGTTTATTCGGTGAGTACTGATATATATATATATATATATATATATATATATATATATATATATATATATATATATATATATATATATATATATATATATATATATATATATATATATATATATATATATATATATATATATATATATATATATATATATATATAACGCATTTATTTATAAAAATATAAAATGTTTCAAGTAAGAAAATTTACTTTTCCTCAAAATCTTAACTTTTTATAAAAACAATTGTTCATTCTGTTTAAATAGAAGAATGTAAATTTAAATAAATTAAGTAGTTTATGGTTTAAATTATATATACGGTAAATTTATAGTTATGATTTAAGTAAATTAATTAATTTAAGTAAATTTTACCTACCATGAAAAGAATATTTCATGTTTAGGTATTTTTTTCTTTCAGTGCGGACATTTTTAGTTGATTTTGTTTGGTCTTTAAATACGAATATTTAAATTTGCAATATAAAAAAACATCTATTTTAAACATATACATATATTGTGTTGAAAATTTAAATATTCGTATTTAAAGACCAAAACAATAAAATTGGCCAGAATTAGATACGTAACCGTAAATTAATACTTTGATCTTTATCTGTAATGTTTTATATGTTTCTCAATTTTGAGCGGCTTTCCTTTGCTCTTGTCTTTACAATTTCCTTCGAAATTCAATAAACTTGAATTATACAGATATTACCTTAAACTCGTGACAAATTAATCCTCATTATAATTAATCTAATAACAAATTCACCCCTCATTCCTCGCATTTGAATTAACTTCTCTCTTACTGCGGTCTTTTACTCTCTCTCACTGTGCGCTAATGAATACTTCATTGATTAATTTTAGCTATGATAAAGGCACCGTTGCGGAATTCGGCTGGTTGTAAATAAAATATACATCGTCCGGCCAGACAGGGAGACCGGAGCGA